TGATCAGGTGTCTTAAAACACCTATTTAAATCGTAGTCAAAGTTGCCAGCAGTTCTGCGGTGATGATCGCGTGACTCAAACGGATTATTAATATAAGCTGGGTATTCCGTGTTTTCCATGTGTGAAAATGAGTTATTCCTGGGTGTCTTGATGGTTTCACAGTTACCATTTAAGTTCCGTGGTGATAATCCCGTGACTGTTGGCATATTTCTATTTTCACCAGTTGATAACTGACTGTTGGCATGTTTTCATTGCACCAGTTGATAACTGGAGTGTGCATATTTCCAGTTGCACCAGTTGATGACTGAGCGTTGGCATATTTCGAGTTGACCCAGCTGACACCAATTCATTTGCATATTGAATATGGGGTGCGTGCAGATCTATGTTTTTTAAACAATTTATCTGAATTTACAGTATATTTCTTAATTACTGGTGATTTAGTTATATGCAATTCATTTCGAAAATACTACAAATATAAATTACCAGTTATTAGGACATTTCGCTACTTCGTATAAATAGTTAAACATGAATAAGGGAAACATTAACTGTGAACTAAAATAATTTCAATAAAGTACAAGTATACGAAAATTTTTCGATTAATCCAATTATGTAAGTCTACTTATTACCAATGCCCTTACATTGGAAATACAGACGTACCAGTATTGAAGTATTGTTGCTGTTCAACTGGTTGGAAGTTCTACCAAATGGTTCTAATGGCTCAGCTAGACCAGTTGAATTATAACTGGCCTGGATCAACTGGATCATTTAGCCCATTTCAATTTCCAGGATTACCAGTTGGCATTAAATGGTTCATCAACTGAACCAGTTGCAACTAGCTTTCTCTTCTGGGATGTTTGCACCCCCCCCCCCCCCACCCAACCCCCTCTAATCCCAAACTGCTTCCGGCGCACCTGGACGTAATTATGGAAGATCCAAGACACGATGTTCAGAAACGGGATGAGAACGTCATTATTTTGGTTCATTTATTGTGTAACATTTGCGTAATTATTGGGTTGAACGCGGGTTACAGTAACATACTTCCTCTTCGACGTAAATTTCACGTGAATGAAGAACATGATTCATCTCAAATCAGCCTCGTAATATTCACGTGAATTTCACGCAGATATTTTGACTAAAACTATCACTAACGCTTCACGTGTTTCTGTGACGCGATAATTTCGTGTATGAAGATGTAATTTCATAACCAAACAAACACGGGAGTATTAGGTTTACAAACCATGGTCTCCAAGGTAGGGATAATCACGTTATTATAATGGTGATATTGCAGTGACAATTGCGTGATTTAGTGTACGTGTGTTTCAAGTTACCTAATGCAATAAACGTATTAACACATTTACGTAAATGTCCGGTGTTTGAAGAACGTAACTCTCCTCAAGTCGATACCTTGATATTGACGTGATTTTCACGTGATTTTGTTTATTGGGACACGATCAAGCACCACGTACAATACGAACCATACACGCTAACACGATGTTTCATGAAAACATCACGACCATATCACACTAAAATTATAAAAGTTTACAAACTTTGAAGTTCCTGACATTCCTGGGCGATCGTGAGCAAGCACGAAGTGTTCAGGAAGTTTCGCGAAGAAAAAAAGAAGAAATCCGAATTTATCACGTGCTAAACACGATATTGCAGGAGCTTCAAATCTCGTACTAGTATTACATCGTGTAAGAAAATGGGCGTGTAGCATTACTGTATAATTGAGTGCAGTTTCATATGAAATCGGGTCGGGTCGTTCAAATATTTGAGGGCCTCTCTTGACAAGAAAACCTAACCCGGTGTATTCTGTTGCAGTCATTAAAAACAGTTTACCCTGAACTTTATGAAGTGTTATCAAATAATGTCAGCCACTTATAATGCATAATTCGAACATGAAGTTGAAGTCGAACCTCAAGTTAAGTAGATTCGGTTTCATTCAGGTCTCTTTTTGAAATTCAAATTACTCTCGAGTAACAGGAAGCAGGATGTATATAGTGTAATCAATTCAATATTTTAGAGACGAAAACATGCTGTATAACCGGTTGACTTGTGCTTATGAAAATAAATATATTTCAAACTTTAGAAGCAGCATTACTTGATGCAGGTATGTTGATTCTTCTTATCGCCATGTATACATGAATATAAAGGCGACATGACACAAAACTGATATTCTACCATTCAAAGGTAATTAAAAAACAAATATTTTAACTAATTTTATATCTCGAAGGTAGTGTAAATTATTTTATATTAAAGTCTTTTTTTAATAGAAGTAATATTCTGTAGACATGTCAGTGTTCCAGGCAGTTCTTATGTATCAGAAATAAGGAAAAAATGTATAAAAACACGGACTGCAGCGATTCACAAGAAGAGACTTCGAAACAGAATAATTGTTTTATCAAATGAATTATGTACATTTATTAAAATCAAGAAGAGTTTCAAATATTGTTGTTTATTACTCAAAATTGTTCAAAGAATGAAATAATCATGAAAATGCGCACAAAGAAAAACATTTAAAGTACAAATTCAATAATATATATAAAAATCATCGGTAAAAAGGTAACTACGAATTACAAATATTTTGGGGGAAATTACAACATGAAAACATTACAACCATTGCAATGTAGTTTTACAACACAGTACACAGTGTAAAAGGATTAGTACATGTACTGAAGAAGTAAATATGAATATACATAGCTAAGCTGGTCGCAAATCAAAACTTCTATGTATCTAGTTTGCAGAGTACATTCATTTGAAACTATACCTTGGATAAAGAGAGAAGGGAAAGAAAACAGAAAGAGAGAGACAGAGAGACAGACAGACTGAGAGAGAGAGAGAGAAAGAGAGAGATAGTACGTGCGCGTGTGTGTGTGTGTGTGTGTGAGAGAGAGAGAGAGAGGGGAGAGACTGTGGGTGTGCATGCGAGTGTATGTGTGTATTTGTGTGTGACAGAGAGAGAGAGAGAGAGAGAAAGAGAAAGAGAGAGAATGCGTGCGTGTGTGTATGTGTGTGTGAGAGAGAGATTGTGGGTGTGCGCGCGCGCGGGTGTGTGTGTGTGTGTTACCAAGTCCTCCAGCTTGTCAATAAAAAAAAGCAAGAGATCATTTTCGATCTTCAGTTGTTCGCCTTATTGTTCAAATAATAAACAATACCAGACAATTAGAACAATTTTTAACAGAAAAATCAAACAAAATTTACACTGAAAGTTCAAGATGACAAATAGAATCTACCGAGTATTTTAAGTTGTCTTTTCAAAGATGAGGGATGAGAACAAAATGGAAGGGGAACAAAATGAAAATCTATACGAACGGTCTTCTAAATATACTTCCAGCATGTGTGTACTCTAAGCGTACTTTCGTGCTCTTGAATACAGGTGCACATGTGGTTTTCTGCAATTTACATAAATTCATAAAAGTCGCACGATATTGTGGAAACTGAAAATACCAATGTGAGACATACATTTAATATTTAGACTGAAGACGATTCAACAATTTAGGGGCAAAGCTGGAAGTCTAAATCCAACATCACAAAACGCTTTAGTCCTAACTCTGGTAATAAAAATACCCTTTTCTAGATAAACAACACAGTTCTTGTTCGATCGACTCATCATCTTCTAGACCTCTTTTTTTAAGCGGCTACTTCTTTTCATGTCATCTATCCTATTGCAAGCGAACATAATTATTATGTCCTAGCAAAATTGATGGAAATTGTTGTTCACATGCCTCGTGGACAGTCATCTTGGAAGCCTGAGGGTCAATACATTATGTTCATTAAGGATTCATTTACGCAATAAGAACCGATCGTATCATATAGTTTGAGAATGATAGCTCTCTGACTGAAAAACTGGGCCTCGGCTTAATTCTGAGACTGACCAGATCTGACAATAAACAAACAAAACAATCATCTCTTCAGTGAAAGGCTGTTTTGATGTCTATAAGATGATCGTCCGTCAAGTTCTTACAAACCCCCATAAGAACCGCCTTCAAAGCCTAAAGATTCTTCAGCCCGGCCCTTCAGTACGTTTAAATCGAACGACCACGCCACTGAGGCCCGAATTCACAAAGAAGGTTTGTCGACAAACCTTGGTTTCCGTACGTCATATGACGCGTTTTTACGCGTTTTTTATTAACCTGGTTTGTAAAGAACAAAAGGAGGTTTGGCGAAACAAAAGGAGGTTTGTCGACAAACCTCCTTTGTGAATTCGGGCCCCAATGTCCAGAAACTGATTGCAAATCATGGGTAAAATCTTAACAGAATCCCAAGCTCTGTTAATAGTAAAAAGTTAATTAGGCCATAATTAAACCAGAATTAAACGAACACTGAATGTAATGTAAGTTATCTTCCTAATAATGGTATAGAAAATGTTCAACAGTTTGCAATAGCTGAGTAATGAGCATTGAAATATTGAAAACACCGAGCAAAGTTCCCGAGCACGGACTTGTTTTATGCACAAATATTTAATAGAGTAAATACTTTTCACCGATATGTTAGGTTTTGTTCAAAATTTGCTGGTTTAACTAGCTCTATCTAGCAGGATAACCTGGCCCGTGTTCTACTTATAAACCGGGTTACTAACAGCCCTATATTCAAACTTCTTGATGTTTTTTTTTCTTCTCCTGATGAACTAATGACGAGTTATTTAATGAATAAACTGCAATACTTGAAATCCAATCTGCATACATTAATTGGAGCTATGTCGGGCAAGCATCGAGAAGCTTTCAGATTGTCAATAACAACCTATGTTTAAAAAGTATGCATATAATTTGTACATGTTAGTAAACCTGCCTAAACAAAGTATTCGGTTAAACTCCATCCTGGGTCTAAATTCATATTTAACATAAGGTCAACCTAGACGTCAGACTAAATTTCTAAATGTTAATCCTCATTAGGACAAAAGCCTAAACCGACCATCAGGTTTAAATTATAGTAGAATGCGGGAATTTCAGCTAATTCTCTCTAAATATAGTATCGTATATGCCATATTGTCTACGTACTTATATTTTTTTCTTTTTCTTTTCGGGAGCGGGTGTATACGGTTTTTGCTTTACTACAATTTTCGTTTCATTGAATAATCATGTTGATTACGCATATAATTATATGTACACTGTAAAATGATCCATTTTTACCAAAAAGATTCGTTTTATGCATAGGTTTCAATGGAATTCAAATATATCAAACCATATTTACATAATGTATACACAGGCGAAGAAGTTGATTGGTTTTCATTGTGTTCATCTTGATATCAGACCGACCTCACACATCATATTCACTTGCAATAGGAGAAGTTTTCTTTTTACTATACGATCAATAGGAATTCGTTGATGTGACAATAAAATTGTAATCAGAGACATTCTATTTTTCTAAGACATACTTGGATTGCATTTATCAGCATGATGTTTGAACAAAGCTAACATCTCAATAGTTAGAAGAAAATTATTAAAAAAATCCTTTAAGATAATTATTACATGTCACATATCTCTTAAAAAGTCAATCTAATTTCCAGTGAAATTCTATTTTAATTATTGTACAGTAGTGATTTTTCATTCTTTCCCCCATGCAATTGATTGACTGTTTTGACATGAAACTGATATTGATTTCAATTCCTTCGATAATAATGGTTTGGATTTTTAAGCACGGAAAAGTAGCTTACTTCATTTCTATTTCGAAAGGAAACAGCATCCTCACTAAAACAAACTTAAAAAAAAACCTCACTAAAAATAAATGGGATGCAAAAAAAGAAAAGATATCATGATTATAATAATTGATTTTATATTTTAGATACCATTTGGCTATTACTGCAACAAACCTCTTATACATTCTTGTACCGGTATATGTCGGATATCTGATTTCAATAAAACATCTAGTTATCTGCAGCAATACACTTTTCAATGGACCAATGGACTTCTTCGCCGGACTATAAAGCAGTCATTGTTCATGGTAATTAGCCACATACAAAATGGCGTCACAGCACCAGTTACCGCTTTTCTCGTTTGGATGATTTGATGATATATTGCATAGTCACTTTGCAGCTTACGACCAGGAGAATAGCGAGGATGACGATGAGGACTAGGGCCTTGATGACGGCGAACGACGACACCGGCCAAGCTTGATCCGAAGTCACGTGACCGTCTGGCGTCGGCGTTAGGTCATGTGACGCACCGTCGGTGAACAAGGTGAAGTTCTCCGTGAGGCTGGAGTTGAACGTCGACATGTCCCAGTCGATGTTGCTCCCCGCCGCCCCGGCGACGTCGGCAGGAGCGTCGCTTACTGGAGGCTGATTAGCTGCAGCAGCGGCGAGATATTGGACGGAAGGTGTTGGTAGCGGTTGCATGTCTGGCGAGCTGCGAGACGCTGCTGCAGCGGCTGAACCGCCGCGTGCAGCATGGCGGGCTAGCCGTCGTAAGAAACGATCCATGATGTGATGTAATGGCATCGAAAACTAACAATTATTATGTTCCCTCCTTGACAAAAAAATGTAACGGTAAGTTTATGAGCTGTATGTTGATTTCTTTCTTGTATGTCATTCAGTTACCTCCTAAAGCGAAATGCACTCTACCAGATGAAACCTGACGTCGTGTGAGATGGATCCTGATGAAATATACCCTGATGCCCTTGAAAAAACAGTGACCTTAGGGAAGCTTCTTTCCTCTCAAACCGCATAAAATACTGGAAACCTCTGAGATCCACGAAAGATGTCCTCAGGATTACAAAGTCATGATAACCCGTTGCATCGGCGTGTAAGGTGAGTCGACGTAGAGTAAATGTGGAGCACACCAAAATTTGTTATCGCCACCTCAGTCTGTAACGAAAGAAAGAAGAAATAAGAAAAATATCATAAACTTGTAAGAGAGGAATAGGAGGTTTTTTAATGTTTTCCAATAATTAACTTGTTCGGTTTTATAATTGAAGTGGTGTATCGACACGCCTAAAAGGACAGCACGTCCGCCATTGCAGTCATTCATGTTGGTTAAGGCTGAGGATCGTACTCGGCTAATATGCCTTTTGTTTTCAAAAGCTTCTGAATCTGAATCTGAAAAAATAGGGCTCAACACTCCTGGTGGAGTAAAACGAGTCGGACTGGGTGTGTGAAGGAAATATGAAATAATACTACTAAAAATGCTGTTGCACTTTGAGCCTTAAATACTTCGAGATTGTGTATGTTAACTAAAGTTATTCAATCAGGTGCTTTTGAAGCAAAACTTCTTTTCCTTATCTTGGTTCTCCTTATTCCGGAGTTACACTTTTAAGAAAAATACGAGAACTTGAATATTGTCAACCTATATATACCAAATGAGAACCTACTGACATCATAAAGAGCATGTCAAAGACATATTACTGTTCATTTCTGATGATGCTCCGAATCGCTATTTTGGACAAATGTTCTTCCGCAGGTGACGTCACTCTGTCAAGTGATGTTAGAGCAAACACGTACTTAATTAATTAGTAGAGCTAAGGAGGTCATTTGTCAAAGTCAAAACTATAAAACGTTTTTCTTTACGTGACCGGGTGGTGATTAACGGCGGAATGATGAAAACAACTTTATACGGAAGATAACGAGGAACTTGGGAAGTCGGCCTACTGGCTTTGCGGAAGCTTTACGTCAAACATGTCAAACGCAATTTGGTTTAGGACATTGATGTGAAATTGATGAAAATGTGTCCTCTATCATCAGAGACTTCTAACTTCATCAAGAATTAACGAAGAATATTTTTTTTCAACAAACAATTTATTAATTTGTAACGATAAGTCCACTCAAATAACCGGGGGATTTTTCAATGTCGAAATGGTATGTTCAAATACCTGTATGCTTCGTGGTTAAGAGATAAGCCAGAAGATAAAACGTTTTTATTGGCAAGCCATCGGAATAAATTTTAATATATCATGCGGGTTTAATTTGGAACGTGAAAGCAAAAAAGTTTAGATTTTTACGAAACAAACAACTGTTTCAAATGTCCCATTTTGGGAATTTGGTATTATCAAGTATATATCGTATATTTCTTGGTTTTGGAGAGAGGAATAGCTGATACAACCATACCATGGATATGGACACTTTAATACCATGCTTACATCATGCTAGCCATAACTACTCGATTTTCACTCTTCATATTATCCTCAGCCCTTCAAGAATATGGTAATGCATATTTAAAACAGTCATTCTTTCGAACATCATGACGTCATACTTAAAATGAAAGTAGGTGTTATACACATTACATTCACGAATTCGCGCGTTGGAGGCCGAGTTTGGAAGCTTAAAAACAAAACCATGTGCTAACATGGACGCATTGCGTCTCAGGTGTTATGGTTTTAAATGATTTGCCCTTCACAAGCGATAGTCTGTATCATAAGGCCACCTGCTCCCTGCATTTATCATCCTGTCTATTCTGATGGATTAATGTATGTCTAGAGGGAAGAAACTGATGATGTTTGTGTGTATAGAGGGTCATGCATAGCGGGGATGGTGTGGGCAATCAGCAGGACAAACTGAGAAGTGAAGATTTGAAAGTCAAAGTCGAGAGGCGCCTAAATGTACTCTCTATTTCAGACAATTTATGGAACGCATAAGCCTTCACTTTAATACATGTGTTAAGTGTATAACTTTCACAAGAAACTAGAATCGAAAAATTGACACTAAACATGAGAAAACAAACAAACATGGAAGATAAAGAGAATAGGAAATGTACTCATGAAGATTTTGCCAACAAAACATGAATGCACTTATATGAATTATATATAGCCTATTATATATATACAGTGGATGTAGATGTATATTAAATCTTTTATAAATATAAAAATTGATCGAAATTGAATTATTTAAGATTCAAAACCAAAGTTAACAAGTCTGGTTATGAGCAAAATTCAGAATGTGGCTGTTTTCAAACTTGTGAAGCGGAAAGGGAAAGGGAAACAAAAACTGCTGAAAACTATCGCTTGGACATGTTTTATCTGTTATAAATATCTTGCATAACGGAAGATATTTTTATTATCAGTACTCGAACCATTATATATTTCTTGCGTGACAAATTGAAAGTTAAGTCGGTCTAAATTCCTGACATGAATAAAAAGAAAAGTTTGCATGTGATACCTTAAGCTGCCTATAAGCAGGATAAATACTCCCGGATCAGTCAAAAGGAAATGTGTGGCAAGCTCTTACTGCTTAAGTCGTCATTTAGATTGTACTTTTCTCAAAGACCTTCCCACAGAACGCAATTTAAACCAGAGGTAGATTCAAATGGGTGTCTTTTCTCCACAGCTAATACGTCCTAAGTGGCGGCATTAAATGTAAATGGCGTGATAAGCATTCGATTTGACAACGGATTACAAATGTCTTTACACTTTTCGTCCCTTAATGATCAGGAACACAACGAGGATAAGCCTTCTTTATTACCACTTTATTTGTTTCCCACATTCGCTCCGAGAGCAATTTAAAACTTCTTTATTTAAAAGCTAAAAAGCGAGGTACAATCATGCAATGTACATGGATGTAAAAAGTACAAAGCCTTCTCCACTATATACATGTCTTTATTTTTCATTATTGCTTTTTTGAAGAGCAGAATTAGTCACTTTGGGTTTCATTACAATTACATCGTCTGTCGCGTGGCAGGTGGTTAGTTTCTCAAAATATATTTCAAGGTGTTCTTGCACACAATGACAGGTGTTAGGAAGCGCAGACTTCCGTTCAATGTATCAATACAGTCAAAATACCTTTTTTCCCTCTTATCCTCAAGCGAGGTTTTTATTTCCATAATTTCGATACATATTTACATTAATAACTCAATGATTGAGTGAAAAATAACATAGGCTAAAACTTAAAGTATATATTCAAAAATTCTTCCAGCTTAGTATTATTTCTTTGCTAACACATTCATATCTTTAAAATAATCTTAGCAATGGCTTGAATTAAACAACAAGTATGTGGGTAGTAAACAGAATAATCAACAATCTTCTTAACGTAACATTTACGTAACAGTCAGAATACTGTATAGCTTAAACCAACGTCAATGTGATATGAGGCTCATTTTCATAACTATTATGTTGACACTAAATTCCATAATACATAATTGAACAAAATACAAATACTTTGTAGCGTGTAAAATGTCTACATACGACAGGGGTGGACCTAAGGTTAACACTACGGGATGTTTCTAGACATTTCCCCAAGAGATATATCCCAGTATTGAGGATCTAAAATTTAGGAACTAAAATGAGACATTTAATCAATTTATTTGTCTTTTTTTTCTCATTTTCTCAAATGATATGTTGAAGCACCTGGAACCATGCATTTTGTAAAAATAACATAACATAAAACACCTCAATAGTGCGTGTGATGAATATGATGACGACATTCACGTATACGTTATTGTCGCTGGCAAAATGAACCCAACACAAAATTGTCTATATCTTGTGAATGGAATCGATAGAAGTCAGGTGGAACACACAATTGGCAATAATGGTTGTAACTTCTTCATCCTACGAATACAAATCGATACACGTCCACAAGCAAACAGGTGCTTCTCTCGAATGTTGTCACAACCCAAGATGCTTAGGGAATGTCTTGCTTTTACGTCAGGTGCATTGCATGCAGGAAACACTACACCCTGGAAATCACTTGTGCTGGAGGGGGCGGCTAAGATAAACAGTGGCGAAGCTACGCGGGGCACGGGGGCACGTGTCCCTAAATCGGATGGTGAAGAGGGAAAGAGAGAGAGAGAGAGAGAGAGAGGGGGGGGGGGCAATAGAGAGGGAAGGGGGAATTAAGGCAGGGTCCAAGAAGACCACTACATCCGTCTCCGCATCCCCATTGCACTCCACATGAACTCTACCACTTTCCTCCCTGGCTCGGACTTTATCCACCGAGTAACACCAGTGCATCCCCAAACCATGAAGTGCCCCCTGTATACGTAGTCCCACGCCACCCCCACTGAAAATAAACACCATGTCAGGCCATGGTTTGGTAGTTGATGTTGCTTTGGGCTCCCTTGGTCTACATCCTAATACCTAATCTTTGAAGTGAAGGAAGCAGTACCGGGAAACTTTTGCTTACTCAGAGTGAGAGAAAATTTTCTTGGGTTAATATTTTTCGAACCCCTGGAGTACGAAACGTCGGAAATTTGATATTGATTCGAATAAATAACTTGTTTATGACACAATCTACATGTATTTCATGGAGTTTTATAGCTGCGGTACATGAACAGATTCCAATTGCAAGTACCTATTACCCGGTGTTGATTTATTGAGAGTTTTATTTTTCGGGGACTTGTACGGTATTTAATAATCATAATTCTGATTCTCTCTTGTGGATGACTAAATTATTGCCTTTTCTGACACTGGTCACAGTTTTTGAGTGACACTTCATAATTTGTCATACAATTATTTGTATTATCATTATCATTATTATGAGTATTATAATAATTATTATTATACAACACTCACACCAACGAGACCGACACCAACGATAGATTACATTACACCGAATGGCAAAAAATTTCACAGTCAGTTTGGCAATATGCCTGTTGTATATATGCCTTAGTTGGTGTTAGAGAAGTTGTTTCACAAACGGCAGGTCCTGGGTTCGAAACTAAGTCGATATGATTTTGGCCTTTTACCATTTTATAAGATATTAATCCTCAATAGCAAAACCCCCAGATACGACTGCAAATTTGAAAACTCTGGTAAACACTAGGCACTTGTAAACATACTTGTCTTGTCCCCTTCAAAACAGTCACGTAAAATATTCATTAATCATCAACCAGAAAAAATCACCAAAACAAAATCATTAAAGTTCCAACATGACTTAT